AAAGAAAGAAAGAAAGAAAGAAAGAAAGAAAGAAAGAAAGAAAGAAAGAAAGAAAGAAAGAGAAAGAAAGGAGGATGGCAGACCTATACCATTTTATTAATTAAATTAATGCAAAATAATGTAGGAAACAATAAGAATAAATTACACACATACAATCATTTTTTCAAGGAATTTACATTTTAATTGGAGACAGAAAATAAGTCTTATAGATATCTGTGTATTACATATATACACTATATATATTTAAGGCCCTTCTAGAACTATGTGATTATGACTCTCCAAAACATTCTGAATGCAATGCGAACTGTTAAATAATTTGATTCTTACTTTAAAAAATTTTTAAATCATTTTGGGCCAGAATTCTAAAAATCGAAGAAAATTTGTCTCATATCAACTGTATAAAGGGGTTTTAACCATCAACCAAAATTGAGAGACAGTTCTCTATGGATCTCTCGTGTTTCTGTATATCTTATGAGTAAGACACTAACTGCCCTTTTTTCCAGACTGTCTTTTCAAGGATATATGTATACTGAACAGCCTTGGAAAAGCCTTGAAAGTTAGAGATTTTCATCTGAACAAAGGGTAGATTTGCTTAGAGCTTTGGAAGACAAAGATAGTGTCTCTCCTGAGCAAAGGGCAGACAGGCTTATTTGAGTTCTCTCAACTCAGAGCTACTCTCTTGTAACACCACCCACTGTGTGTACAAATATTACCTGACACTCTTCTACTAGGCTCATGAGAATTGGGTCTCAAGAAACTACAATAAAATATGCTGATGCTCATACTCTTGCTGCACATGAGTGATAGGAATTTTGCATCTTCTACCATCATCTATGAAACTATGGCCAACTAACTTGTTAGTTTTCAAGTAGGGTTAAAACTCAGATTTTTCAAGGTGCTTAAAAATCCATTTCTTAACTTTGTCCTCTGAGATGAAAATATTAGACTATATTTTTAGAAAGAAACAAAATTAAATTGGTATGGCGTTACGTATATTTAGTCATGATATTTTTATATCAATAATAGGATTGCTTCAAGTAAGGTTCATTTTAATATATCAGTATATGATATAAATAGCCTCTATCATGCAATAAGGTTGTTAGAGTAGGACAGTTAGATACATATAAGAATATTTTTCATTATACTTACAAACTCTTAAGTCCTTACAATGATTGTACTATTATTCTTTCTATATTTATACATTTGAAGTCAGTTCCAAAACCAAAATAAATACCAAAGCCATCTAAGAATTAAACAAGGTATTTATCCAGATGACATCAGATCATTTGAGTCTCATTCAATATTAATTTACTTTGCCAAATTAATGCAAAGTAATTTAGGAATGAGAATGTAAAAATAAATTAACTAAACAAAGGATTAATTAAAGCATTATTAGAAAATAATTAACTCAAGGACTTAAGGTATTTTCAAGCAACCTGAAAGGACCATTTGGTTTCCTGCTATATTTAAATTGGATAGAGTTAAGTAATTCATGTTTTAACACATTTTATCCCATTTATTAAATTATATACACAAACACACACACAGAAAGGGGCAAAAACAAAGATGTACTGCTCAATATATATTACAAAGCAAACACCTGTGTAAATACCCACCCAGGTTAAGGAATAGAATAGCACCCAGAAAGCCCCCTCTTTTCCCCTCATAACTACGGGCCATGTTACCTTCATTTTGAAAATCATGAACGTTTTCCTTTAAAATTTTACAAACTAAGTCACTACGCACTACAATTTAGTTTTTCTTGTTTTCTTTTAACTTAAATTAACGTAATCATTCATATGTAATTTTGTGATTGGCCACTTTCATTTATTATTATGTTTGTGAGATTCGTTGATGTTGTCTCATGTAGTTAGTTCATCTTATTCAATGATGGTGTATGGAATTTCATTTTATAAACAATATACTTATTCATTCTACTGCTAATGGAAATTTAGTTGTTTCCTATTTGGGGCTATTATAAATCATGGTACATATCTTTTGGTGCACATGAACACACCTAGAAATGAAATTGCTGGATTATATGAGATGCGTGTCTTCAAATTTAATAAATAATGCCAAACGAGGTTCCAAATGGTTGTGCTATCTCATTATCCCCACAGCAGTATATGAGGTTTCTCCCTGTGCCATACTCTCAGAAGTTCTTATTATTGTCCATCATTAAAACTATAACAGTTCTGATTTTGAACAAGGATATTGCATGGTGGTTTTGGTATGTATCCCCATGATTATTAATGAGGTTGAGCAAGTTTTCAAATGTTTTGGCTAAATTTTTTGTATAACTTTTTTATGTGAAGTGTCATTTCAAGAAGTCTGCCCATTTTTATAATGGGTCATTTATTATTTAATTATGACTTGTAGAACCTCTTAATAGATTCTCAACATGAGCTCTTTGTCAGTTCTCCATGTGCTGCAAATATTTTCTAGTCTGGCTTGTCTTTCACTCTCTTAATAGTGTCTTTTGATTAATACAATTTTAAATTTCAATGTAGTTCAATTTTCCTTTGAATAGTGCTTTTTGGATCCTGTTTAAATGAGTAGCTCTGATATTACCCTCTAGAAGTTTTGTTGTTTTTGTCTTTCATATTTAGGCCTGCAATCCACCTGTGACTGAGTTTAGTGCATGATATGAGAAAGGAATCAAGTATGAGGTTTTTTTTTTTTTTTAATATGACTATTCAATTGACTCAGCATCATTTGTTGAGATTATTTATTAAAAAGACTGTCTTTTTTCCTACTGAACAGAAGAGCTATCGTTGTCACAAAATAATTGTCCATATATCCAAGATTTAATTCAATATGAATTTTAAAGCCCACAAGACATCATTATTGTATATAATTGATATTTCTCAGTGTTTTTCAAAGTGCGGTCCCCAGACCAGCAGTATTACAATCATCCAGAAACTTATTAGAAATGTAAATTCCCACCCCTGACATACTGAATCAGAAATCTTGGTGTGGGACCTACCTCACAATGCTTCCGGCCACTCTTTCACGTGATTCTAATTTACACTAAAGTTTGAGAATCGCTCTAGATTTATGTACACATTTATTGCTTTTTATTATTCTTTATTCCTTCTTGGATATCTGTATTTCAATGTAGAACAGTTTTCTTTTACCTAAAGAGAACCCTTTAATATGTGGTTTAGTATAGATCTAAGGATTATAAATAATTTTTTTTTGTTTGCCTGAAAGTCACTTTATTTGCACTCTTCAAGAATATTTTTGCTAGATATAACATTCTAGATTAGCAGCTTTCTTTCAGCACTTTCAATATTTTTATCCATTATTTTCTGGCTTATATTATTTCTGTTATAAAGTTAGCTATCAATCTTTTATTATTCCTTGGAAAGTATTCCCTATTTCTCTCCAGCCTACTTTGTTTTTGTTTTTTTTTCCTGTCTTTCATTTCCATCAATGCTACTCTACTCTTTTTATCACATTGCTCTTTTATCACTCTTATATTCTTGTATTACTTTATACATTCTTTTAAGATCTTGCTTCTTGACTCTATTTTGATGGCTCTTCCCTGTTTTAGAATGATCTAAGTCATCGTACAGTATCTCCAAATAT